GATTGGGCACGTTTTGCTGATCGTGAGCAGTGTTCCGGGTGTTATTGAGCATTCTAGTGGGGCGTTGGCCTGTTTTACGCTTGCGTTGATTGTTATGGGAACGGGAAGTAAGTATTTGTTTTTATTGCCTGTGGCCTGATGTGTTGCTCCCCTGAGCCCTATCTTTGTCCCCTAGCCGGTGGATTCAAGGCCAATATTTCGCCTCTTGTCGCTGAGCAGTATCAAGTGTCTGCCATGCGTGTCAAATCTCTCTCTGATGGCACCCGAGTCATCGTCGATCCCGCTGTGACGACGGCACGCATCTACCTCTACTTTTATCTTCTCATCAATGTCGGGGCTCTCGTCGGTCAGCTAGGGATGACCTACTCCGAGAAATACGTCGGTTTCTGGTTGGCCTACACACTTCCAACCGTCTTCTTCTTCATTTGCCCCATCATATTGTTCCTCGGCAGACATAAGTACAAACAAAGTCCCCCTCAAGGCTCGATCGTCGTCGAGGCTTTACGGGTTTGGAGGACTGCAATGAAAGGTACGGTTGTCTGGACGGACCCAGTTCGGACTTGGAGAAATTGGACCCATCCTGGTTTTTGGGAGAAGGCTAAGCCTAGCAGGATTCTGGAGTCTCAGCCTGAGGGCGGACGACCTTCTTGGCTAACATATGACGATATCTTCGTGGATGAAGTCAGGAGAGGACTCAAGGCTTGTCAAGTCTTCTTGTTCTTCCCTTGCTACTGGATATGCTATAACCCTCTCAACACTACGCTCACATCGCAAGCGGCAACGATGACAACGAACGGAGTTCCCAACGACGTCATCAACAACTTGGACCCACTCGCTCTGATCATTTTCATCCCCATCTGTGACTATGTCATTTATCCATGGCTTGCACGGATGGGGATTCGATTTACACCGATAAAGAGAATCTTCTTGGGATTTATGACCGGCGTAGCAGCAATGGTCTGGGCGGCCGTCGTTCAATATTACATTTATCAGACTTCACCTTGTGGCTATCAAGCAAATTCCTGCGATACTCCTTCCCACTTAAGCGTCTGGATCCAGTCTGGCTCGTATATCCTCATCGCCTTCAGCGAAATCTTCGCTTCCATCACCGGACTCGAATACGCCTTCACGAAGGCACCGAAAAACATGAGATCGGTTGTGATGAGTGTCTTTCTGTTCACGACTGCGATTTCGAGCGCAATCACGGAGGCATTGAACCCGTTGTCCGCGGATCCTCATTTGATTTGGAATTATGGGAGTGCGGCCATCATTGGGTTCGTGAGTGGCATTGCGTTTTGGATTTGCTTCAGCCATTTGGATAAGCAGGAGGATGAATTGAACGAGATTACTGCTATGACGGGGACGGGATTGAAGACGGTTGACGAGAGGGATAGTATTTGAGGGTGTAGCTATGTGGTGGGTTGATTTTGTGCTGCTCCCTTGATTTTTGAAAAGTTTTTGGTGTCTTAATCGTGCCAATTTGTAGCAGGTCCTACCAATCTTCCCGACGCGAACGTGCAAGAGGTCCTGTAATCATTGCCAATACGCTAGATTTCCATTGTATTCACTGCGTAAAGGGGTCAAAATTTTGGATCCTCAGTAGATACCTGTTTGGATGTACTCGGAGATTTTTGATCCGATTCTGATGTGTAAATTTTGGATACATCCGTAATTCGAGCTACACGAACGAAACTAGATATGTGAATGAATGAATGAATGAATGAATGGAAGCGTTCATGTCCGGCCAGCCGTGTTAGGAGGTAGGAAGTGAGTAGGGGGTGTGGATGGGGAAGCCGCCCGTGTCGCGGATGTATCCTACGGTAAGAGGGGTGATTTTGTTGAAACATTCACATGCACCCAGCCCGGTGGCACCTTTCCTATTCTGGCCACTCCTTTGCGCCCCCCCTTGTCGCGTTGGGGATTGTGCTCCGACACCCTTTGCCTCCCAACTTTGTCCTTACACCACACATCCCTTTGTGTTATCACCTACAGTTTTTCACCCCCCAATGAGACCGATTTCACTAATCCGCACCTCAGAGTCGCAAAACATCATGAAAAATTTCATTAAAATTGTAGAGTAACAAGAATGTGAATACCTGCCAAAATGAACCGAAATTATGAACAATATTCTATTGTGAAGTACATGTGCAAGAAGGCCTCCCAAATGCCCATGTCACCCCTCAATGATATTGCGTGACATTGTGTGACATTGTACTCAGACACTCATGCCAAACCCCTTCCACTGCTTGCTCCATGTCCCCTGATGCCTCCAATGTTGCAGGAGGCTTGTTCTGCTGAAGTTGGGGATAGTTATAAGCCATCCAGTCCCTCATTAGGATCTCGGATGGCTTTGTGGTACCTTTTGTTCCACCAGATGTGTCTTTTCTTCATGCCACCTCCCTGGCCCTCCAATGAGTTTGCATGCTGACCCATTAAAAGAAACAAGCAAGACAGAATCTGAGTTGGGGAATATAGGGATGGTTAATTGGCAGATTGTTTGGGTTAAAGTTATGAATTGTGGATAGAAACATGCTCCTGACTAGCTTCCATGTATCATCAAAACAAATAAAGCCTGGCATGTGTAATGATGGCCTTTTACCCACTGGCTGCTTGGCTAGCTCTTGGTAAGTGTTAGAACTGGGCGAGGGCAGACGATTCCGGAGGGGAACCGGAGACTTAGCAAGGAGGGACCTTGGCCTCAGCAACTCAAGCGGAGCGCTGTGCCATTGCTGTTTGTCCATTTGGTCCTTAATTTCATAGGCGGCGAGCAGGAAGTCTCTAGGGGGCATTTCAGGTCGATTTTAGACTAAAGGCCTAAAACAAGTATGTACAAGTGCCGATATATATAATGGAGAGGGTGAAGGCACAAGGAAACAAAGGGGGTCTGAATCGGAATGAAGGTGTCTGAACGGGAACAAAGGGATGACAGAAGCGGAGCGGTACTGAAGGTCATAGGGCAGAACCTGTGGTACATTCGAAAGGAGGTAAGGAGGGTGAGGCCCAGAGGGGCAGGAGGATGAGGGGAAGTGGGGATGATGACTAACTGGCTAGGATGGGAAGAAGCAGCAGTCCAAATAGGGATGAGGGGGATATGTGAAAGATACATTACAAGCAGCGAAAGTGCCGAAGATGATCCATGGAGCTCGGGGGTTGCGGAGCTTATGGAGGTTACAGAGGCAGGGTTGAAAGTCTGAGGAATATTGGCAATGGTGTTTACATAGTATGAGGTCACCAATGCAATGGACTAAAGCCAAGGTGGAGTCAAAGTCCGAGGTAGGAACTATGATGGAGTCTTGGAGTGAAGGTACGAGCGGTGTTATGGAAATGGGAATTTCCCATTTTAGACTCTTATGGGTTCTGTGTCACATGATTTGTATAGTAATTAAGTTTATCCAATCAATAAACAACCAAAAACCCGCTGTGCTAACATCTGTATAACCACATGAACCCCATTTCCCAACCTTTCCCTCTTCCTGCGCTAAGGACGGACGAAAATGGGCGCCTCCGGCCCCATTTTTGTAACAAGCGGTGTCCGAGTACGGGGTATGGGGCAGTGGTGAGAGGTCGTAACTTAGCGGAGGGCCGGCAGAAGAGAGTCAGAGGGAAGAGAGAGGAGAGAGGAGAGGAAAGGTGTCAGTGTCAGGGATCGGCCCCTGACCCCGCTGTCAGGGCACCCAACCACACCCCAGAACCACCTTCCCAGACTTCCCCCACTTCCCAGACCTCCCCATCCCTACATATCTCTCACAACTTCAGCCTGCATGTGAGCCTGTGGGAAAAATCACGTGGGTCAAGGCGAGCAACTCGCCTTAACCCACGTGACACCTTTTCCGAGTTGTGGGAACATGCTCGGCTTCTACCCGGAGTCACGTTATGAACTGTACAGTACACTTCCTTTTTATAGTAGCCAAGCGGGGAATAGGGAAACTTACCCTTCTTCTCAATCCCCGCTTAGGCAAGTTGTAGTTACCCTCTGTAATACATGACAACTCAATCCCCGCTTAGTCCCTTCAGTGAGTTTGAGGAGCTGAGGACAGGGTCTAGCGCCCAACCACCCAGAGCATCGCACACACCATCTATAGAAGAACCCGGCAAAAGGCATTTGCCACTGCACCCTTGGGATTTTCCGAGCTTGAAAAAAAGAGAAAAATCACACCTTTCTAACGGTACTAATCATTTGAAATTTAGTTCAGCGGTTGAAAAGTTATAAGCGTCGACATTTCTGCACCCTGCACCCTTGACGTGAAGCCTCGATGTTTTCTCAGTCAGTTTTGAGAATTATTGGCGGCAATAGGCATTCCAGGTAGTTGTAGGGGAGATCTACAAGATGAAAAAAAGAGCATGTGAATAGCTGGACTAGGTAAGGAGATATGGGAAAAATAAAATTTAGAGGAAAAAAATAATAAATAATTTGATAAGTGGATGAAGAAAATAGGGAAAAATGCGGGGTGTTTTGGAGTGGAATATGGTGAGGAAATAGAGTGGGAAAATATTTAATTTGGAATTTTTTGGAGAGGTTTTTTTTTGAGGGTGCACTCAGGTGCAGTGAGGGTGCAAGTTGAATTAAAAGTAGAATAAGTTTTGACTGGATGGATGAAAATCAAAATGGTTATTGTAAGGGGCATGAAGACATTATAGGGGAAAACAGCGTCAGGGTTCCGTCACCTCAAGGGTTCCGTCAGTCGAATTTTGGGAGGTACCGCCAGATGGGACACGAACAGTCTGGCGGCAAAGTGAGGTTTCCAATACTACCAAGATGTTCGCGAACATTCTGGTAACATCTTGGTAACATCTTGGTAACATCATTAGTCCACCGGAGTGGTCGCGAACATGTTGGTGGAGTAACAATATGATTATGTTGGGTACAATAAAGTGTAAAATAAAATGTAAATTGAGTCAAAATGGGAGAAGATGAGTAAATGGAAAAGTCACGGGCTGATCGATTGATCGATCAGATTCTGCAACTTGCGTGCCACAACCATCTACCTCCCAGAACAATAATGTCCACAGCACAATCAAGAGCTGGCACAACAGCGCTAGCGAATGTGGATATACGAGGACTTTCACTTGGGATGGTCATCCCAGATACCCTGCGCAACCTATCATTTGATAAAGCAATGGCAGTGACACACTCGCTTCGTGAAGAAGCATTCATCGGGATCTGCGAGCTTCCAGCTCACACTGAAGAGTCATTACCTCTTGCGTTTGGTGTCCGGAACGCTCGTCCGATTGATTGCACCGGGCTGAATGGGATCATTGAAAGCATCATCGATGATAATGGCCCATCTCGACTACGACTGGATATGCCAGTCACATTGATGATCCGGAAGCCGTGGGTAGCCAGCTCAGACTGGCCCAGAATGATTACTCCAGACAATTATGGGGGCCTCCCAACTCTTGAGTTGACGGATGTGGGCAGGCTGGCTGCAGATGCCGGAAAATTGCAGCTTCTCAATGGCCAGCATCGGTATGGGTCATCTCCAATAACTGAATTAGCCTGAATTAATAACATGTGATTGCAGGATTACAGCTTTGAGGGCCGCATACGAGGCCGTGAGCAAAGATGTGAAAAAGCACAAGGAGGCAACGAAGGGGAAGTCAATGAGTGACCTCACAACATCGGAAGACAAGCAACTGTTCAAAGAGGCTGAGAAAAGGCTCAAGGCAGCTGAGGCCACGCTTGCTGGGCTTCAGTCATGGCCAGCGGCCCTTTATGACCTGGGTGAGTATGATGCTGAGTCAACGAAAAGGAAACTGATCGGAATGTGGATAGATATCTTGGAACAGGATGAGGCAGTTGGGAGCCTCATTGTGGAGCTACTCGCACGAAACAAGGATGTTGTAGAAGTTGTGGCATCTGATGAGGAGAAACTGGTACCGATGTACCAGCATCTGTTAAGTGTTCAGGTCCAGGCTGGCTGGATGCCAACGTTGTGGCGATCAGCAAAAGCAGCGAGGACCAGGCCTGAATCAATCAATCTCGACATCACGGCATTAATGCGGCAAAAAGCTGGGTCGCAACGGAAACTCAACCGGATTGGTGCTGATGAACGATCTAATCGTGGGCTGATGGAACTTGTCCGGGTTGGCAAGTACTATCGTAATTGGAAAGGGTTCACAATAAATCATATCGCAACGAAGCTTCTTGGGACGGCATGTGCTGTAGGTGATTCAATACTTCATTAATAATGATGGTAGTGACGAGTGTTCAATCTAGTATCTGTGGACATATCTCCAGGTGCAAAATGAACGCCTGGCACTCCTTCTGACCGATTCCGATGCCGACGATGACTTTGATTATCAACGGTTTGAACAACTGCTCGAGGACCTCGATGGGAAGTTAAGTGAGAAGGTACGGGTGGAAAAAACCGAGGAACTTGATGACCTTGCATTGCACTTTGTCAAGACGTACATTGACAAAGTTGAGCGGATGCCAGCACTCGAGACATATTTCGATCTCAAGTTCTGGAAAGGGATTGAGGATGCTGAGGAGGAGTCAGGAGTGACAACCATTGAGAAAACCAAGGGTTCCCGTGGCATCGTGAAGACTCAGCGGATCTACGCTGACGATGTCTTCCAATTTTCTCACCCTGACCATTTCTCGCGCTATGTGGACTACCGATCTGGAGTGTGGAAGGCCATTGAGAAGGTGGTCAGACGTAACGAAGGCTTATTGGCACCATCGGTTGTCAATAAGTGTCAGCATCGATTTAACGTCCTATTTTCTGGTGTTATTCACCGATGGTACATGATCCTCATGACCAATGGGCTGCTGGCCAAGTTCGACGAGATTGCTTCGCAATACAAGGAATGTTTCAGAGAGGTATGTTGTATTTCATCATTTACATACTGTGGCGTGTCACTACAAGGATGGTCGTGAACATTGGTTCCAAACTACCAACATGTTCGCGAACATTCCGGTAACATCATTGGGTCAAATGTTACCCAGATGTTCGTGAACATTCTGGTAATATTGGGTGAAATGTTACCCAGATGTTCGTGAACATTCCGGTAACATAGGGTCAAATGTTACCCAGATGATCGCGAACATTCTGGTACCATTGGGCCAAATGTTACCCAGCTGTTCGCGTACATTCCGGTAACATTGATCAAATGTTACCCAGCTGTTCACGAACATTCTGGTAACATGGGATCAAATGTTACCCTATCTAATCACAGTGGGTATTATGAATCATAATACTTGTGCCATGGCGATTTTTTGGTATCATAAAAAAGAGAAAAATCACACCTTTCCAACGGTGTAACGGGAATGGAAGTCCGGTAAACGGTTCAGGAGTTATGGCCAATTCATTGTCGTGCCCAGTCGTGCCCTAGTCGTGCCCTATCGTGCCATTGGCCAGTACTCGGCCAGTTCTCAATATTATGAAATATAAACGAGTGTCCAAAGGCCGTATGGATCTCCTCTACAAGATGCAAAAAGCCCCGAGCGAATAGCTGCCACGGTTACTGAGTTATTGAGGAAACAAAGTTGTGCCCTGAGTTTCAGTGTTTGAGCTCAAGTTGAGAATCGATTTGTTTGGGGTGTATAGCATATCACAAGATAGGTATTGAAAATATATACACGATGCAGAAAACCTTGAGTGAAACGGGTCACTCGTTGTGAAGTTATTCAAGAAATAAAGTGTGAACATGGGACCAAGGGCACGAGTGGAGGGCACAAGTGTGTTTATTGAATAGCTCAAGAACGAGAGCAGCTATTGACTCAGGGTCTTTTGCATCCGGTGTAGATTATCAATACGGCCTTTGGAACATCAACGGCGCCTGATAATACTCAGAAATGGGGGAGAAAACAGCAATGGCACAAGTAGGGCACGATTGACTTGTGCCCAATCGTGCCATGGACCATTACTCGTCCATTTGTTGGTATTATCAGGCTTTAATAAATGTCCAAAGGCCGTATGGATGTCCTCTACAAGATGCAACAAACCCGGAGTGATTAGCTGCCCTGGTTACCAAGTTATCATGGAAATAAAATCATGTGCCAAGTCGTGCCCTATCGTGCCATTGGCCAGTACTCGACCAGTTGTGAATATTATGACATATAGATTAGTGTCCAAAGGCCGTATGGATCTTCCCTACAAGATGCAAAAAACCCCGAGTGAATAGCTGCCACAGTTACTGAGTTATTGAGGAAACAAAGTTGTGCCCTGAGTTTTAGTGTTTGAGCTCAAGTTGAGAATCGATTCATTTGGGGTCTATAGCATATCAAAAGGTAGGTATTGAAAATCTATACACGATGCAGAAAACCCTGAGTGAAACGGGTCACTGGTTGTGAAGTTATTCAAGCAATAAAGTTCAAACATGGGACCATGGGCACAAGTGGAGGGCACAAGTGTGTTTAATGAATAGCTCGAGAACTAGAGCAGCTATTGACTCAGGGTCTTTTGAATCCGGTGGAGATTATGAATACGGCCTTTGGAACATCAACGATGCCTGATAATACGGAGAAATGGGGGAGAAAACAGCAATGGCACAAGTAGGGCACAATTGACTTGTGCCCAATCGTGCCATGGACCATTATTCATCCATTTGTCGGTATTATTAGGCTTTGATGAATGTCCAAAGGCCGTATAGATGCCCTCTACAAGATGCAACAAACCCGGAGTGATTAGCTGCCCTGGTTACCAAGTTATCAAGGAAAGAAAATAGTGTGCCAAGTCGTGCCCTATCGTGCCATTGGCCAGTACTTGTTGAGTTCTTAATATTATGACATATAAATTGGTGTCCAAAGGCCGCATGGATCTTCTCTACACGATGAAAAAAACTCTGAGTGAAACGGGTTACTTGTTGTGAAGTTATTCGAGAAACAAAGTTGGACAATGGGCAAATGGGGCACAAGGCACAAGTGTGTTTATTGAATAACTCGGGAACGAGAGCAGCTATTGACTCAGGGTTTTTTGCATCCGGTGAAGATTATGAATACGGCCTTTGGAACATCAACAAGGCCTGATAATACAGAGAAATGGGAGAGAAAACAGCAATGGCACAAGTAGGGCACGATTGACTTGTGCTCAATCGTGCCATTGGCCATTACTCATCCATTTGTTGGTATTATCAGGTTGCGACGGATGTCCAAAGGCCGTATAGATACTCCCTACAGGGCTTAAAAGACTTTGAGTGAATAGTTGCTCTGGTGACTGAGTTATTGCAAAAAGAAAGTTGTGCCAACATGGCACAAGTCGAGGGCACAAGTCTGTTTGTTGAATAGCTCAGGAACCAGAGTAGCTGTGGACTCGGGGTCTTTTGCATCTTGTAGAGGATATCCATACGGCCTTTGGAACATCAACAGTGACTGATAATACTCAGAAATGGGGGAGAAATTGACAATGGCACAAGTAGGGCACGATCCACTTGTGCCCAATCGTGCCATGGGCCATTATTCATCCATTTGTTGGTATTATCAGGTTTTAATGACTGTCCAAAGGCTGTATAGATACTCCCTACAGGACGTAAAAAACCTTGGGTCAATTGTTGCTCTGGTGACTGAGTTATTGAGAAAAGAAGTAGGGCCAACATGGCACAAGTCGAGGGCACAAGTTTGTTTGTTGAATAACGCAGGAACCAGAGTAGCTATGGACTAGGAGTTTTTTTCATCTCATAGAGGATATCGATACGGCCTTTGGAACATCAACAACGCCTGATAATACTGAGAAACGAGAGAGAAATCATCAATGGCACGATCGACTTGTGCCCAATCGTGCCCTGGGCCACCACTCATTCATTTGTCAGTATTATCAGGTTGTAACGAGTGTCCAAAGGCCATATGGATCTCCCCTACACGACACAAAAGACCAGGAATTCATAGCTGCTCTGGTTCTTGAGATATTGAGAAAGGAAAGTTGTGCCTTTTCAGCAGGGGCACAAATGGCACAAGTACATATAGGAGATGAAATAGGCAGCTTGGACTGGACCATGTGATCAAGTTTGCTTTGGCTTGATCATGTGATCAAGCCAGCTTGAACTTGATCATGTGGTCAAGTTTGCTTTGGCTTGATCATGTGATCAAGTTTGGTTTGGCTTGATCATATGATCAAGCCAGCTTGAGCTTGATCATGTGATCAAGTTTGCTTTGGCTTGGTTATAGGCTAGACTTGGGTCGCTAGGGTCGAGAAATTTTCCCTGGGACTTGACCCCAGTACCCTAGCACTCCATGCTGTAGTACCCTTTGGGTCTCAGCACCCTGGCACCCAAGTCCCTGGCACCCCAGAGGTGGCACCTAGCACCTATGGCACCTATGGATGGAGGGACCTATGGGCTGAGGAATGAAGGTATCTCTCAGCTGGTGCAGGGCAAAATTTGCTTCCACAAATTCTGTTCCCACAAGCTCAGGTGAGATACTGAGTATCTCAACTGGTGCATGGCAATATTTGCTTCCGCAAATTCTGTTCCCACGAGCTGAGGTGAGATACTGAGTATCTCAGCTGGTGCACGGCAATATTTGCTTCCGCAAATTGTGTTCCCACATGCTGAGGTGAGATACTCAGTATCTCAGCTGGTGCACGGCAATATTTGCTTCCGCAAATTCTGTTCCCACGAGCTCAGGTGAGATACTGAGTATCTCAACTGGCACACAGCAATATTTGCTTCCGCAAATTCTGTTCCCACGACCTGAGGTGAGATACTCAGTATCTCAGCTGGCACATGGCAATATTTGCTTCCGCAAATTCTGTTCCCACGAACTGAGGTGAGATACTTGGTATCTCAACTGGTGCATGGCAATATTTGCTTCCGCAAATTCTGTTCCCACGAGCTGAGGTGAGATACTGAGTATCTCAACTGGTGCACTGCAATATTTGCTTCCGCAAATGTTCCCACAAGCTCAGGTGAGATACTCAGTATCTCAACTGGCACACCGCAATATTTGCTTCCGAAAATTCTGTTCCCACGAGCTGAGGTGAGATACTCAGTATCTCAACTGACACATGGCAACATATGCTTCTGCAAATTGTGTTCCCACGAGCTCAGGTGAGATACTCAGTATCTCAACTGGCACACCGCAATATTTGCTTCCGCAAATTGTGTTCCCACGAGCTGAGGTGAGATACTCAGTATCTCAGCTGGTGCACGGCAATATTTGCTTCCGCAAATTCTGTTCCCACGAGCTCAGGTGAGATACTCAGTATCTCAACTGGCACACCGCAATATTTGCTTCCGAAAATTCTGTTCCCACGAGCTGAGGTGAGATACTCAGTATCTCAACTGACACATGGCAACATATGCTTCCGCAAATTGTGTTCCCACGAGCTCAGGTGAGATACTCAGTATCTCAACTGGCACACGGCAATATTTGCTTCTGCAAATTCTGTTCCCACGAACTGAGGTGAGATACTTGGTATCTCAACTGGTGCACGGCAATATTTGCTTCCGCAAATTCTGTTCCCACGAGCTGAGGTGAGATACTCAGTATCTCAACTGGCACACGGCAATATTTGCTTCCGAAAATTCTGTTCCCACGAGCTGAGGTGAGATACTGAGTATCTCAGCTGGTGCACGGCAATATTTGCTTCCGCAAATTCTGTTCCCACATGCTGAGGTGAGATACTGAGTATCTCAGCTGGTGCACGGCAATATTTGCTTCCGCAAATTGTGTTCCCACATGCTGAGGTGAGATACTCAGTATCTCAGCTGGTGCACGGCAATATTTGCTTCCGCAAATTGTGTTCCCACATGCTGAGGTGAGATACTCAGTATCTCAACTGGCACACGGCAATATTTGCTTCCGCAAATTCTGTTCCCACGAGCTCAGGTGAGATACTGAGTATCTCAACTGGCACACAGCAATATTTGCTTCCGCAAATTCTGTTCCCACGAGCTGAGGTGAGATACTGAGTATCTCAACTGGCGCACTGCAATATTTGCTTCCGCAAATTCTGTTCCCACGAGCTGAGGTGAGATACTGAGTATCTCAACTGGCACATGGCAATATTTGCTTCCGCAAATTCTGTTCCCACAAGCTGACGTGAGGAACAGAGTATGCACCACCGGTTTGGTCACAAAAATTGTGACACAAGTTGTCACTGCATTTCTGGAGGAACAGAGTATGCATCACCGCTTGTGTCACAGAAATTGTGACAAAAAGTCGTCACAGATGCACTTCTGTTCCCCCTAGAGGAACAGAGTGTGCACCACCGCTTGTGTCACAATATTGTAACAAAATGTTGTCACAGATGCACTTCT